ACAGTCTGAGGTGCAACCTGGCGGCATAGGATGGAGCAAAACATGATATCCCAGCGGTGTTCTATTGGTTTTAGGTCAGGCGAGCATGGGGGCCATTCAATGGTATCAATTCCTTCATCCTCCAGGAACTGCCTGCATACTCTTGCCACATGAGACTGGCATTGTTGTGCACCAGGAGGAACCCAGGACCCACTGCACCAACATAGGGTCTGACAATGGGTCCAAGGATTTCATCCCGATACCTAATGGCAGTCAGGGTGCCATTGTCTAGCCTGTAGAGGTATGTGCGTCCCTCCATGGATATGCCTCCCCAGACCATCACTGACCCACCACCAAAACGGTCAAACTGAATGATGTTACAGACAGCATAATGTTCTCCATGGCTTCTCCTTGTCTGTCCATGTCTGTCACATGTGCTCAGGGTGAACCTTCTCTCATCTGTGTGAAAAGCACAGGGCGCCATTGGCGGACCTGCCAATTCTGGTGTTCAATGACAAATGCCAATTGAGCTTTATGGTGCCTGGCAGTGAGCACAGGGCCCACTATAGGATGTTGGACCCTCAGGCCACCCTCATGAAGTCTGTTTCTGATTGTTTGGTTAGAGTCATTCACGCCAGTGGCCTGCTGGAGGTCATTTTGTAGGGTTCTGGAAGTGCTCATCCTGTTTCCTCCTTGCACAAAGGAGCAGATACCAGTCCTGCTGATGGGTTAAGGACCTTCAACGGCCCTGTCCAGCTCTGTTAGAGTAACTGCCCGTCTCCTGGAATCTCCTGCATGCTCTTGAGTGCTGGGAGACGCAGCAAACCTTCGGCAATGGCACATATTGATGTTCCATCCTGGAGGAGTTGGACTGCCTGTGCAACCTCTGTAGGGTCCAGGTATCGCCTCGTGCTACCAGTAGTGACACTGACCCTAGCCAAATGCAAAACTAGTGAAAAACAGTCAGAATATATATATATATATATATATATATATATATATATATATATATATAAATAAAATGTGTGGAGATTCTAAGTAATTTTCTAGCAAAAAATACTGGTTGTTACATGTAATAAATAATACACAAAAAGGGGTTTATTTACTTGTAGCACCCTCCTAGTTACACTAGGTAGAGCTATATACCTGATGGCTAGAGAGGAGCTGATTAGCAGCTCAGGTGAGATAGTCAGAGTGGTCAAATTCTTGTCAGGACTGGGAGACTCTGCAGGCCAGCCCCTCTGGAATTTCCCCCTGCTCCGAGACTTTCGGAGGAGGGCTTTGGAGGCAGTGGGAGGATCTGAGGAGTGGTTGGTTGCATCTTAGAGTGACCTCAGCCAATCCCCAACAGGAGGCTTGGAAAGGGGCTGGACTCCCTTAAAAGGTGTCAGAGTCTGCTCAGTAGCAGGAGTTGGAGTGTGGTGTTAAGAGAGGAGTGTGAGTCAGGCCGTTTTGAGGCTGGAGAAGGCTGCCAGGAGGTCTGCTGGGATGGGGCCTTCCTACGCCAATCAGCTTCCAGGTTTTATTGCCAAAGGTTAACTGAACAAGCTGAAATTACAATCTGATTGGCTACCATACACAGCTGCACCAGATTCTGAGTGCTCCAGTATTAGTCAAACACACACCAGTGTCAGAAAAGGCCTGGTGTTAGGCCTGGTTCACAAAAATGTGTTTCTTTTAGTGCTTTTTGCAGAAACTACAGTCCATTTGATATGTTTTCCTATGGGACATGTCCACATCTATACCCTTTTGAGCTGCTGCGTTTTTGGAAAGGGTCAGGGACTTTTTTAAAAGCAAAAGAAAGTGTTTTTGCTACAACAGTTCAATGGAGAAGCTGCTGAAATGCATATAGTGGGTTTTTTGTCACGATTATACTGTGTTGTTTTCTACCCGGCGAGAAAAAGATTTCCATTTTAAACAAAAAAAAGTTGAAAAAATCCCACAAAACGCGGTAAAAATGTGTGTGTAAAAATGCAAAGCACAATGCAAAAAGCATTATAAAATGGATCAAAAGCAAAGTGCATATGTGTGAACCAAGCCTCAAAGTGGTTAGTGTGTATATACACAAAATCACGTATATGCAGGCGTACCTCAGTTTACGAACGCCTCAGTTAACGTAATTTTTGGTTTACGGATGAAAATCCATTGAAAATAATGCCTCGGTTTACGAATTTTTTTCACAATATGAACAGATTCATTGGTTTTCAGTGCATTTACGTTTTTTTTTTTAACCATGTCTCTGTACAGTACTATGCCTTTAAAGTGCACTTTATAAAGAGTTTTGAACAGATAAGACTTTTTTTTACTTTTTTCTGACCTCCGGAATAGATTAATTGGTTTTCAATGCATTTACAATTTTTTTTTTAATCATGCCCCTTTATGCCTTTAAAGTGCACTTTATAAAGAGTTGTAAACAGATAAAACTTTTTTTTTTTTACTTCTTTCTGACCTCCGGAACATATTAATTGGTTTTCAATGCATTTACGAATTAAATTTTAATCATGTCCCTGAACAGTATTTATGCCTTTAAAGCGCACTTTATAAAGCGTTTTGAACAGATAAAAGACTTTTTCTTAACTTTTTTTCTGACCTCCGGAATGGATTAATTGGTTTTCAATGCATTCCTATGGGAAACCGCGTTTCAGTTTACAAATTTTTTGCAATACGAAAAGTCCCATAGAACTAATTAAATTCGTAAACCAAGGAACGCCTGTATGCGTGATTTTGTATTTCTGGGTAGGGGGTACGTGCACGCCCTACCTGCGCCGCCACTGGCGGCTACAGCTTTCAATCACCGGGTCCCGGCCAGAGATTCTCCGCCGGAACCCGGCGATCGCCGAGTATCACTGATGGGGGAGAGGTCTGTATGAAAACAGTACAGATCTCTCCCGTCAGCTCTAGTACACTGCTTTGTATTATTCTGCAATACAAAGCAGCATGCCTTCTCAGTAAAACACAGCAAACAGCACACAGTTAACCCTTTGATTGCCCCAGATGTTAACCCCTACCTGCCCAGTGCCATTAGTACAGTCAGTGCTTTTTATTAGCACTGATTACTGTATTAGTGCCACTGGGGATGTCAGTGGCAGTTAGTTCCCCCCCAGTTTCAGAATTCCCGCCGCAGTCTCACTTTAAGCCGCTGATCGCTGCCATTACTAATATTAAAAAAAAAAAAGCCCAGTATATATACTGCCATTTATAAACGCTATAACTTTCACGTAAACCAATTAATTTACACGTATTGGGATTTTTTTTTTAGCAAAGACATGTCGCAGAATACATTTTGGCCTAAATTTATGAAAAAATTTGATTTTTTGTACTGGACATGTTAAATAGCAAAAAGTAAAAAATATTTTTTTTTCCAAAATTGGCACTTTGTTTATAGCGCAAAAAATAAAAACGCACAGGCGATCAAATACCACCAAAAGAAAGCTCTATTTGTGGGGGGAAAAAAATAAATGTAATTTATGTACAGCGTTGCATGACAGTTAAAGTAACACAGCGCTGTATCGGAAAAAAATGGCCTGGTCAGGAAGGGGGAGTAAATCCTCTGGAGGGCAATTGGTTAACATATATTCCTGTGTTTCCTCCTATGTGAAAAGCATAGGCCCACTGACAGTGTTTCTTTCGGGTGACCAGTCAGGCAAACCATACTGTGCCCACACGGCCCTTACACATCTGTCCATTTACAGTTGTCACGTGCAAAGAACACTCTCCTTGAACTTCTCAAGTGGTTCAATAAAGCTTTGTGACAAAATGAAAAAAAAAAAAAAAATGCCTGGAAATCTCGCAAGAGCCAGCTCAGGAGGCCCTCAGGTCACGCGAGAAATGACTTCATGGTAGAGAGACTGAAGTCTATCGGTCGCTCGTGGTCCCTAAGCCTCGCGAGATATCCAGTCAGTGACCAGGGCTCGCGAGATTTTGAGAGAGAAGGCTGCTACCTGTGGGAAAAGCAACGCTCGCGAGATTTGGACGAGTATCCTGCTGCCTCTGGTAACGCAAGGCGGCCGCTTATCGCGGTGGAAGCGTATTATATCCCGCTGAAGTTAGTTCCCGGTGACCGGGAACCTGCGCCCGGAATAGCTGAATGTGGTGGTGAGCGGAAGGTGCCTGAGGGGAGGAGGAGTGCGGCAGCTCACCGGTGAGGAAGGAAAGGCCGCCCCGTGCTGACAGGACAGGAGAGGCCTCAAGTCACAGTGTGTGTGTCAGGGGAGAGACTAAGTTCGCCTGGCGTGAGGGGGGTGGGGGGCAGAGGACATTGGCTGTAGTGGTGGAAAGGCCGTTCCCCTGTGTGTGGACCAGACCATTGCCTTTCATTCAGCTGAAGCCTCCTTCATGTCCATCAGCAGAGCCTGTGGGAGATTGTGCGTCTGCTCATTGTATGGAGTCCCAGCAGCCTGTGTATGAGGACAGCTGGAGAAAAGGCCCAGCCCCCCTTCATCACCACCAGTGCTTGGGCACCTACCCACAACTATCTACCTGGGGAGCCTCTATAAAGACTGGACACTAGATCTTCCTGATCCCTGACCGGTACACCTCCAGGGACCACAGCGGACATTTAAAGACCCTGTGAGGTCAGTGGAGAAGAGAAGGGGATCCTAAGTCTACGCTTTGGGGCGGTTGTTGAAGCGTCATCACTTGTGCCAGCACGCCGACTTGGTGAAGAACCAATCAAAGTGCAGTTCGGTTTTCACATCCATCAAACCAAAAGTCTATATTACAACCGTTTTTAAGAAGAAACGTTCCTCCGTTCCACAGAAGATTTATATGGAGGGAGGCTAGCGTAGCTCCCTTTTATCTAGGGTGGCACCATACTTCCTCTGTCATTGAGAGAGGTCAGATGTTTTTGTAGATGTTAGAAAAACCCGGGTGAGAAGGAGGACGTTTTTTTTTTTTTTTTTTTTTTGCTTGTATTTTTTTTTTCTACATTGGAATATTTTGCACAAGATATCTTCTAGTTTTTTCTTTTTTTTTTGTGGGGAATACCCCTCCCCCTCCCCTTTTTTGTTCCCCGCAAAGGAATGCCAAACCCAGTGCGGCATGGGAACAAAAAGGACAGCGGAGGATCTACATCTAACATGCCGCAGAGCAGTGGCAGTAGCAATAATAAAGAGCGGCCAAGGCCCAGTTCTAAACACAAGCGACACAAGGCCAAGCATCTCAGAGACTCACCTGTTACATCGGAGGCAGTGGCACCTAGCATACTAAAGCTTGTGGAATATGATGACATTAGCTCGGACTCGGATACTTTCTCTGACGATGTTTCATCCAAAACCGAGAAACGAGAAAATGATGAGCGTAGGGGGGCGGAGAGAAGCGATAAGGCACATAGGTCGAAGCATCGACATCAGCATAAACGGATTAAGGAAACTTTTAAAAGCAAGCAGCTGGAAAAAGAGCGTAAGCCAGACAAAAGTCAGGAAGTGGCTGTGAGCAAATTACAAAGCTCCAAAGACAGGACGTCTAGCACAACCAAAAGGGTGGCTGAGGAGCAAGAGGATCATAAAAGCAGTTCAAGAAGTAGCAACAAGGAAGTTCGGACTGCGAAAGCGCATAGGGAAAAATCGCGGCGGGAGAGGGAGCTTAAGTCGGGACACAAGGACCGCAGCAAAAGCCACCGCAAAAGGGACTCCTCCAAACGTTATAAAACATCAGATAGTCCTAAAAGAAAAGGACGTAGTCCACGAAGGAAGTATGGAAGCAGTCCGAAACAAGAAGATAGCTATTCTGATGCCTCCGGTGGGCTGGACTATGATGGAAGTCCACAACGTTCACATGTTTCTTCCAACTATATTGAGGCTTACAAGAAAAATCTTGAAAGTCCTAGCTACAAAGAACCTTCTGCGTACCAGAGCAATGCTCGCTCCCCCAGCCCATACAGCCGGAGACAGCGCTCACTGAGTCCTTACAGGAGGAGATCCTCAAGCTATGAGAGGGGAAGTGGCTCCTACAGTGGGCGATCTCCAAGCCCTTATGGGCGTAGACGGTCCAGTAGTCCTTTTGTGTCCAAGCGCTCAGTGAGTCGGAGTCCAGTGCCCAGGTATTTTTTTTTTTTCTCTTTCAACATTTAGATTTAACTGATTTCCTAAAATATTTATACACTTAAAACAAGCCTGTATTTTGTCCTTGCAGGGAAGACCAACAGGTTCACTTTACTGTAAGGCTTTCTTACCCCAAAGTTCCCTTTGCCTAAATCAGAACTATACTCACCTTCTCTGCAGTGGCCCAAGCTGCCTGCCAGTCATTGATATCTTCTGCCTATCATTTTCCGGGTACTGATTTTCAGCCATTGTCATTGGCTGTACTAAATGACAACAGGCCCGGGCAGGGCGTGAAAACAGGTTAAAAAACTTGACTGCAGAAGAGACATAGTGGGGTTTATTTACTAAACCTGGTTGACTCAGAATCTTGTCCACTTCTGCATAAAAACCAATCAGCTTCCAGGTTTTATTGCTGAAGCTTAACTGAACATGCTAAGGTTAGAAGCTGATTGGCTCCCATGCACAGGTGCCCAAGATTCTGAGTCAACCAGGTTTACTAAATAAAACCCAGTACTCTCTCATTAACCCTCTCTCTCTCTCTCCACCACCCAGGTTCTTGTAGGTTCTACTTTAACTTTGCTTCTTTTCTCTCCAATTTCCTGTGGTAGGAATTAAAACAAGACCTTTGTAAACTACAAATTATAATTTGGAGCTTCTGTAGGTCTAAATGCTCTTTTCCTGCTCTCATATAACGGCACTGGCTTTCTGTGCAGCCACATTTGAGCGCTGTCATGTGAAAAGCAGGATAGAGTGTCATACATTCCTTCATAGCCACATTGGTGTTGGTCAAATGAGAGCAGTGTGGGCTGGCTTTGGATTGAAGGCCTGTCTCACTGGCATCAAAAATAAGAAAAGGCAAATGACAAGGGCACTGCAATAGCTACCATCCAAAAAAGTAGTGTATTAGAATAATAAAATCATGGCAAAAGTATTATAGCCAAATTTTATATATCATTGCCCTCAAGCCCACACTGGGAGGGTGGGTATGGGGATGGTGGTGGGTGAATGATACTGGGGGTTTGTTTGGGGGAACTAGTGTGTGCTTGAGAGCACTGATATATTTTGCTATGATACTTTTGCCATGATTTTGTTCTAATAAACTACTTTTTTGGATGGTAGCTGTTGTGTCGTCCTTGTGGGTTTTTTTTTTCTGGTGACACCCATCCACTTAATTTGTGGACAGCACTTCTATTTACTTTGTGAGATTCCCTAGACCAATTATTCCTTTTTTGTCTGTGTCACTGGCATCAGACTGAGATTCTTCTGAGATCCTTCTGAGATCTTTCAAAATGTAGTAATGGGTGAATTTAACTTGCAGTTGACTTCCTCTTCATCTGGCTTTGACTTGCTGCAAGTGGATTTTGCATAATTTTTAGACTTGCAGAAAATGCAAAACTGCTTTGAAATTAATATTAACCTGTTGACATGTGCCCTAAACTTATCGCTTTGTATGGGCAACTTTAAAGTTAAAGCCCAGCTCCAGGCAAAGAAAAAAGGTTCCTCATTCAGTGGGGCTGTGCCAGCACTGCATTGGTGAACTGCTCATTTTGTCCAGGCGCACACAGAAAGCTTGTACTCACCCGATCCACTGTTCTAGTGGCTAATGGCGCACCCCCACATACCAGTGGTGGACTGTTCCTGATGTCGTCACATCCAGAACAGGTGTATGGGCTTGATGACATCAGGAACAGTCCACTGCACAAGACCACTGGGGCAGAAGCCGCAGGGAAGATCGGTGGATTCGGTAAGTATATCTTCCTTCTCCAGTCCCCTAGACAAAAATAAGTAGTTAACCCTTGCAGTGTGGGCACAGACCCACTGCAATGGCATACTTTTATTTTTGCCCAGAGTTGGGCTTTAACTTTTAACCACTATTAAACCCAAAGACAAACATTTAATATATTGCAGTTTACCAATCCAGAGTAACTCCACTTTTGCTTGGAATAGAACAATCCCCTTTGGGTGATCAATGTACATTTAAAGGATTTTAACTAGCTTTGTTGCAGAGTCCTACTTGTGTCTGCTCTGAAGAAGAAAAACTATTCACTGCAATCGTTGAATATTGATTCTGAATGATAGCGAGATATCCATTTTATTCAGCTGGTGCACTTTCTTTGTTCAAATGAGGAAAGTTGCTGTGTCTGCATCCCCTTAGAAGTGATGATCCCTTGTAGCCCATTCACACCAGAAACTGCATGTGCGTTTTTGCTTGAACAGTGATGTGCATTTGAAGCATGTTTTTTTTCTTGCTTTTTCCCTAAGTTTGCATTTTCTTTGAGGCCATTTTCATCTTTTCTTCTGTGAGCACTGTACTTTGTTGTAGTGCATTTTCTTGCATTTCTGTGCATCTGCAGTACAGAAAAATGCAGCGTGCTGTACTTTTTTTCACATAGGATAACGTGGATTTTGGACTGTCTGTGGAGTTGGAGTGCAGTAAAAAATGCATCCATCTGACGTGAATGGGCCCTTTAGAGTGTATCTCAACAACAAATTTGCAATTTTTGCAGAGGATACCTAAAACCTGATTTGTTTTTAGTGCAGAGCTCTTCACCCAAGCAGGAATTTACATTTCTGGGAGCGTTCTGTACCCCAACTGTGTGCAGAGCTCCTCCAGGTTGCCATATTGCTTTGAATTTTGCATAAAATTACAGTTCTGTGGTTTGAAAAGGGATGGTAGTTTTTAATAGCATTACATTGCAGTACAATATGTACAGTATGACCATTTGCACTATATATTTGTTTTGCTGTATTTTCCCACCTTTTTAATTGTGGTGGCTGCATTAGGTTTAATTTTTTGGCTCCCCCCCCCTTTTTTTTTTTTTTCTTTTACCTGGTGATCTGGCCAATGCTGCTTGCCCTGAATGCAGTGTCAATGTGCAGGTGACGTCATTGGCTATTGCCGATATGAATACCTCCTAAATGGTGCGCATTCCAAAAAGCAAAAGTCCAAAATGTAATACTAATATCTTCAACTTTGCAGGTAAACTTTTTATATTCAATACTTGATGATTGTTTAACTCTGGCCTATTTAACCAATTTAGCCTTGTACTCATATACAGATCACTTGTGGTTATTTTGCACAGGTATTCTGTATGTGAGCAGGGGTGTGGAAATTTTTGAAAAAAACGACTTGTCTAGGGACAAAAATCTGTTTCCCAATCTACTTGTCCCTCATGACAATCTACTTGTCCAGATAAAAAAAATACATTTTAACCAAAAACATATTTAAATTAGAGGTGCTTTTGGGAATGTCTGGGGCTTTTAAAAACGAAAGGGGCTTTTTGGTGACTTAGACGTTTAATATTTTTAACATTGCACTTTTTAGTTCCTCCTCACCTCCCTGCCTGTCTCCAGCACTGTACCTGGTGACTAGCAGGGAGGTGAGAGCAGAAAAGCAGAGACCCCAGAGATTAAAATAGTGGTAGTTACAGTTTTTTACATCACGCAATAAGTTAATTTTAGGGCACAAAAAAAAGCAATAAATTACCCAATTTTTTTTAAAATATATAAAATGAGTTTGCACCAAGTAAATAGATATCCAACATGTTAAACCTTAAATTTGCATGCGCTTGTTAAATGACAAATTTCAGTTCCCTATATTTTCTATAGGTGACGCTTTTGAAGCCCCTTATAGGTCATCAGTGTAACGTTACGGATGAGGTGTGGTGCTAGAATTATTGCTCTGATTCTGGTGTGCACGGCAATATGTAACATGTATCGCAGTCAGTGTTTTCATGCGTAAGCGCCCCAGCGTGTGTTTTTATGTTTGTATGTGCGCATATGTAGGGAAACCTCAATTTTTTTTTTTCGGGGGGGGGGGGGGGGGTTTGTGCTTGGGTGTAAATTTTTTGGTGACAGGTTCTCTTTATTGAGACATCCAGGGTCTAAAAGAACCTGCATGTCTCCTCTCTACTCCACTGGATGTAATGCCATGTGCATCGCCTTGATAGCTGGGAAATTTATCAGTGTACACCCGGACGTGACGGCATAACATCACTTCTAGCTCAGGGCAAGAAGGGAAGGAGAGCGGATGTACCACTCTCCTCCATCCCCTCTAGCCACTGGCTTCCGCTGAACCAGTTCCAGGCCCACAGATGGTCAAGAGGAGCTCGGGAGAAATAGCGGGCAGGGGGGAGGTTCTCACACATGGGGGGTAGGCTGGCACTGTAGTGGGCTGTGTGAAAGCAATTGGGCGGCAGCGCAGCTGCCTGAATGCTTCCACCTGACGGCAGGGCTTTCCCACAGCAGGGCTAAAGATTAAAACAAACTACCTGCCTGGCGCCTGGAAACAACATGTCTCGGGCGATATAAACTCAACATCCCTGGTGAGGCTGAAACATAAGGGGAAAACTGAAACTCTACTTGTTGTATTTCTATTTATTTCTGTATTGGTGTGTTTTAATTATGTTCTTTGTTTATATAGGAAGTCTGCCAAATCCCGAAGCCGCAGTCCTCTCTACTCAAGAAAATCCTCCTCGTCTCGTAGTAAAAAACAAAAGTCTCAGTCCCAAAGTCGCCATTCCAGTATTTCACCTGCCCGTTTGCCATTGAACTCCAGCTTGGGTGCTGAACTGAGCCGAAAGAAAAAAGAGCGGGCATTAGCTGCTGCGGCAGCTGGTAGAGACTCTAAAGCAGGTGCAGTGATAAAAAAAAGAGATTGGAGATGGAAGAGGGCTCCCAACATTGGATGCCAAAAAGGCAAACAAAAATCTTAAAATGGACAAACCTGTCTCTGATTCAGAATTGCCAGTGGCACCAAATGTAGATGCAAAGGTATTATCTAGCTCTGTGAAGTCCGAAGAGAATGAGATGAAGCTACCTTTACCAGTAAAGGATGTGAAACAACCAGTTAAGGATGTTAAAGCTCCTACTGTCACAGAGGAGACCTTGACACCAGTGGAGGGAGTGACAGACAAAGAGATAGAAAAAGATTTACCACCTCCTTTGCCTCCTGTGCAGTCACCTCAACCACCCTTGCCTGCTTCCTCTCCACCTCCCCAAACTCCTCCGCTTCCCCCTCTTCCCCCTTCACCAGCTGTACCTGTACAACCTCCACCTCCTCTGCCACCTACTCCTACTTTGACAACCCTTTCTATTTCTATCACCGTGCCTGTCTCAGTAACATCCACCACCCATACACGTTCTTCAGCAGTATCCACTCAGGCAAACACACAGCCTCCAGCTATCTCTTCCACCAAGCCAATTGCAGCTGTTAATCTTGCTATCCCGCATATGAAAACTTCAACACTTCCTAATTTACCCCTGCCACCGTTACTGCTTGGAGAGGATGACATGGAGAGGTGAGTACAGTACCTGGTTTTTGTACCATATTTTGAATGGCTGGAGGTTGAATGTCTGTGGACTCAGCTTCTTGCTTCTAGTTGTTCAGTGTCCCTCTGGGTAGTTTGCAGCTTAGGATTTCTGATTTGAATGCTGTTATAGTGGGAAATATAAATTTGCTCAGTGGCCATTGCTACCTGTGATCACAAACTGACTTTCCAAGCCTCGATAAAGTTGAACTAGATTGAAATTGGGGAATACTACTACTGCCATGCACTAGGGGAGAACATACATTTCTGAACAGATGATGTGGTTTAGGCAAAGTCTTTGGGTACATTATTATGACAAGTAGTAAATGTAAGTAAAGGAGCATAATTGTAGAAAAAACCCCCTGTCAAATAATATGTATTTTAAAGAAGTTTTTCTCATTCGATGTCCTTTAAGTGCCAGGTGTAGCAACCAGATGACAGGTAGATCCCTGCACTGCATTGTTAACCCTGGTCTTAATTGCTTCCCCCCCAGTGGTGGGAGCTGGATGAGAAGTCCAGATCAGGCAAGGAGACGGTTGAGAAATTCAGAGCAGGGAAGGTGACAGCGTGGCAGAGCAGGTTGAGGGGTCCAGAGCAGAGGAGGAGGGAGCAGGGGCAGAGACTTGCTCCCATGTTCACTGAAGCAGAGGGTGTGTGTTCACTGGAGGTGTTGCGGCTGCTTAAGCATCTTTAGCTGCAGTGGCACCAACTCCAGTGAACACACAGTCTGCTTCAGTGAGAGTGGGAGCTCAGTGTAAGAGCAAGTCTCCTCCCCTGCTCCGCCCAGCTCTCTGCTCCGGACTTCTCACTCTAAGTTGTTCCAGCTGTATATGTGTGCAAAGCTATGTTATCTGGTGAGTGCAGGGAGGAGGTGAGTGTCTTCTGTTCTTGCAGTTCTCTACCCTGGGGGGGGGGGTACAGAGGAAAAGGGTCATTTTTGGGTAGTTTTAGACAATCCCATCTAAATCTCCCTTCCCTCTAAAGCCCGATTTGCATTTAGATCGTGCTTCAGAGGCTACTGACAGGTGATGAGGAAGTAATGTAACACTTCCTCACTGCCTGTTTTGATGCCATTTTCTGCAACAATTGCGCCATAATTGCTGAGTGTTTGCGGCACTTCCTCAGCCACCACTGTTTGCTCTGCCACCGGGTTACAGAAGTGCCGAATAAACGGCACTTCTGTGATCCACAGGGGAAATACAGCCAAAATAGCTTTGGCTGTACTTTTTTCCTTTAATGGTAGTTGTCATTATGTGGATTATGTGGTTTTATAATGCTTGAGTGACTGTTTGTGCTGCAGCCACAGGATTGTATAGAAAACCCACTGCTGTCAGGTCCGTGCAATATACGTACCTGGCGGCGAAAGGATTAAGGTCATCACAGATGACCAAGGGGGTCACTGTTTACATCTAGAGGAAAAGAGGTTTAAACCTCCAAATACAGAAAGGCTTCTTTACTGTAAGAGCTATGAAAATGTGGAATGGACTCCCAAGAGCTGGTTTTGGCGTGAATTGGACTATGCTTTACTAGGGTTTTTTTTTGCTTTCCTCTGGATCAACTGTGGGTATAGGATTGTGTTTATGAAGATTTTTCTTTTTTGTGTTTTTCTTTTATTCCTCTGTGGGTTGAACTGGATGGACTTGTGTCTTTTTTTTTTTTTTTTTCTTTCAACTAGACTTAACTATGTAACTATACACCTATGCTACGGCAACCCTGATGAACTCAAAAAAAACCCCTTTTTGAAAGAGGCTGATCTAGCGATTGCTCAAGCTGGCAAATAAAAGCGGGAGCAGCAAAGCATTTACCATATTTTGTTGGATGGGTTAACAAGAAAAATTTTTTCATTTTGTCTTGTTTATCCTTTCTCTATAGCATGCTCACAGTATCAAAGCCATATATCTTTTTTTCTTTTTTTTTTTTTTCTTCACAGCCCCATGGAGATTATTCCCCCAAAACCAGCCAAGAAAAATAAAGAGCAGAGACCTAGACACCTCCTGACTGACCTACCATTACCTCCCGAGCTTCCAGGAGGAGACCCATCTCCTCCTGAGTCTCCAGAACCCAAAGTAGCAACACCTCCACAGCCACCAGTAAAGAAGAGACCAAAGTAAGTTTGTGCTTAAGTTTTTAAGTGTTTAGTAGTAGATTTTTATAGTAGATATTAAGTGTGGTGACTGATGTGTTACTGGAGATCTGCAGGCATTTTGGTTATTACTGCATAATGTTTACTCTAGAGGGTTATGTATTGTATTTGTCCTGCTGTTTCACATAGGGATACATTTACTAAAACTGGAGCACTCAGAATCAGGTGCAGCTTTACATTGTAGTCAGTCAGCTTTTAACTTCAGATTGTCCATGTAAGCTTTGACAAAAAAAAATAAACCTGGAAGCTGGTTGGTTTCTATGCAGAGCTGTACCAGATTTCTTTATCGTGCATCACGGAGCACAGAGCAGGCTATTCATGACTATGTGGGTTATATGCCATCTATAGGTGAATGGACATTGGCTGACCAATCCGAAGAAGTCCTCCCTTATATAACTCCTCCTACGCAGGAAGTACTTTAGTTTTTTTGCCAGTGTCTGTAAGCTGGATGATCACTGAAAGTGCTCTAAGGACCAGAACGGTTCCATTGTAGAATCAGGAACTTTAATCAGATCCATTCGGAAAGCTGTTAGCCAAAATGGATGGTACCAGAGCCTCGCTGGATAAGGAGAAGAATCCTCGAGGTTTTGCCTATAATGCAGCCTTCCAGTGCTGGACCCTGCATAATGGACCCTGTGCAGGATAATACTGACCAAGGTGCTTTCTGTTGGGGTGCTTTACAGGTCCAAGGCAGTGGCCCCACATTACGGGGGAGTCCTTGAAGGTCTGCATGACAAAGCCCGCCGTGATAGGGGAAGGTTATGATTTAGGGCTCGTTCACAGTTGACTTTATTTCTAACTCTTGCCAAATGCCCCTATAGCGTTTGACGGGCGTTAGGCGTTTGTGAAGCGTTTTTAACGCTCCCAAAACACCCTATGCGCAGTTTTGAGGCGGTTGATAGGCGTTTGCCAAGCGATAAAACCGCACCACAAACTCCTATAATGCAGTTAAATGGTATTAACGCTCCGCAAATGCCTCGCAATCGCGTTACAACCTGCCAGGTGTTTGCGGAGCGGCACCATAGACTTGGCTTCAACTCTTCCTGACTCGGTGGCAGTTTTGCCGCGACACTAACTCCGTGTGAAACAGCACTGACTGCAGAGTTTTCATAGGCGTTTGAGAGCGTTAAAAACCCTTCCCAAATGCCTGTCTGACAAAGCTAGTGTGAACGAAGCCTTAGGGTCCTGGGAATGGTAAGTTTACATTTGCAGTATTTCTTTGAAAAATCTTAACTGATCATTCTTCCGGTGACCATTGGGGGTAATGTGCTGTTGGTCTGGCCAGCCCATGCTGTGTGTGTATCTCTGAAGAAGTATTAGGCTGCAGTTTTGTGCTCCAGCCCCTAGAGCTCATGGGGTGGCTCTCTATAGCCTACATTGGTGCAGTGGAGGCAGGAAGTAGATGGGCAGCCATTTTAGCTTATGTTCCCATGTGGCTGGCGGTTTGTGAGGCTCCTGAGAGGTAGCAGAGAAACGGAGCAGTCTGTGGCTGGATGATGGTGTATGAGTATTTCCTTTGGGGGAGTTACATGACCAGACAGGACAGGACATGATTATACATTGCATTAGACTGCATAATCCCAGGGGGGGCTTGTACAAATGTTTTTTGATATACCCCTGCAGGGGGATCAGTGCACTTAAAGGAGTTGAGTCTCCAGAGTAGCTTGAATTTGATCTGCAGGAGCTGAAATTTTAGCTGCACTGAAGCAGCGTGGAGGCTGCATTCAGACTGTTTGATACATATGTGTTTGCCTAGCATGGAAGCAAATGCATTTAGTTTTGACGCAGTTCTTTGAAACCATACGCTTCTAGAAATCGGGACATTTGCAGCATTATGCTAAATTATTGCATGCATACCTGTGTAGTTTTGTGAACTGTATATTGAATAAACTGCATTTGTATATGCATCCGTACATGCGTGCCTAGGCCGCAGGCGTGCCTGGTGCCTAGGCCACATTCATACATGCATATTTAAATGCATACTAACATAGACTGCATACCTACACTTGTATGAACTACATAAATTGTGTACTTACATGCATATTTGTGTTAACCGTGTACCGGTATAATTTACATACACTTACATGCCTATGTAGCTGCATGCTTGCTTGCCTGTGTGATTGCGTAATTGTAGACCAAGATGGCTATGGACATATATCCCTGTGGAACTGCATAGTTAGGTGACAATATATATGCTCTGTTTTTTTTTACCTAAAGAGCCCCACTACAACTGCATTACCCTGTACTCGTCTGATCTCGTTTGAACTCGGAATCTAATGAGGGTCAAGCCCTGGTTACTGCTTGGAGGGGAGACTGCCTGGGTATACCAGGTGTTGTAAGCTTTTGTAGGCTTTTGAATTTTATTGCTGTCTGGAGGGCTCTAATCCAAGACAAAGGGGTAATTTCCATGATTTCTCTGGGGTACAGATTAGAATTTCAAGTTTTCTTCCCCTCCCTGGTTTCTAAAATCAAATGTACCAATGAATCCAGAGTAGAGCTTTCTCACAGGCATGCGATCGCCTATTGTCTCGGGGTGATCACGGAGTTTCCAGTGGACGAAAGGTTTTTTAGGGGTTTTAGTCAAACCTATTCACAGTCTCAAAGGACTGGGGGGGGGGGGGGGGGGTATATCGGTCATAGGTTATCTAGACAAACTGTTGCTCAGAGGTTGGTTGGTGCCAGGTCTAAAGCAGGATGTGGTTCTTACGATGCAGATCCTGGAACAGCTGGGCTGGGTGCCCAACTTCAAGAAGTCGGCCCTGGTGCCAGTACAGAGCCTGGAGTATTTGGGGATGGTCCTAGACACGGTTCAGGCAAAGGTATTTCTGCCTCCAGGAAAATGGTGTGCCCTGAGGAACGAGGTTTGCGGTTTAAAAGCCAAGAGGTACCCTTCAATTCGCCTCTGTATGAGGTTGCTGGGAAAGATGGTGTCCTCGTTTGAGGCTGTTCCCTGTGCCCAATTCCACTCCAGACCGCTGCAAAGGAACATTCTGACTGTTTGGAGCAAGAAGGTTCCGGCCCTGGATTACTGTATGTCCCTGCCTCCAGAGATACTGTGAAGCCTGAATTTGTGGTTGATGACTCACAATTTGGAGAGCGGGAGATCCTTTCCTTTCGGCCTGTGGTGTGGAAAAAGGGTTCTACCCATCAATGTCCTGGAACTTTGGGCAGTGAGGCTGGCTCTGAGGTATTGGACATCCAGGCTTCAGGTTTTACCTGTAAGGATTCAGTCTGACAATGCCACAGTAGTGGCATACATCAACCACCAGGGCGGTACCAGAAATCGAGGGGCTCAGGAGGAAGTGAATTATGTTCTGACCTGGTCAGAGAGTTATGTTCCAGGTTTGTTAGCGGTGTTCATTCCAGTGGTGAAAAATTGGCAGGCGGATTATGCTTTGCATCCCGAAGTTTTCAAGGGAACCTGCCAGCGATGGGGTTGTCCAGACAAAGATCTAATGGCATCCAGGTTCAACAGCAAGGTCGGTCTTTTTGTGTCTAGGCTAAGGGACTCTCGCGCAGCAGGGATAGATGCCTAACTGATTTCTTGGAGCCAGTTTTTGCTGGTTTATGCCTTCCCTCCAATTCAGCTTCTGCCACGTCTCTTATGCATGATTCGGGTGGAGTCTAATTGTCCCGGCCTGGTCCAGAAGGGCCTGTTACGCAGACAAAATGAAGATGGCAGTAGAAGGGCCATGGTCCCTGCCGTGTCGGCCAGACTTGCTTCTCAAGGTCCTATATTGCACCCAGCTTTACGGTAACTAAATTTGACAGCCTGGCTATTGAAACTCAGATCTTAAAGGATAGGGGGTTATCGTATTCTGTCATTCCCATCATGTTGGGGGCTAGAAAGTTAGTCTCTAGGAACATTTATTACAGAACTTGGAGTGCTTACATTTCCTGGTGTGAGGTCCGGAGATGGCACCCACGAAAGTATGTGATTGGTAGGATTCTGTCATTTCTTCAAACGGAGAAGAAATTTTTGTTGGTATCATTAAGGGCCAGGTTTCAGCATTAGCTGTTTTTTTCAGAGGCCCATTGTGTCTCACTCTTTGGTTTGCACTTTTTTACAGGGAGTAATGCGCATTGTTCCTCCTGTCAGGTTGCCTGTGTGTCCTTGAACTTGGTTTTGGAGGTTTGGGAAAAACCACCATTTGAGCCTATTAGAGAGATTCCACTGGTCCTGTTGACTCAAAGTGTTGTTTCTAGTGGCAGTCACTTCTGAGAGAAGGATGTTAGCTCTTTCTTGCAGAGAACCATTTCTGGTTTTGCATCATAAGGTGGTGTTGCGACCTCAACGATTTTTTTTTTTTTTTTTTTTTTTTTTTTTTTTTTTTTTACCTAAGCTGGTTTCTAGTTTTCAACTCAATCAGGACATTGTTCTGCCTTCATTCTTTCCTATGCCTCAGTCAGCAAGAGAGAGATCTCTGCATTCCTTGGATGTGGTACACGCTGTAAGGGTCTTCTTGAAGGTGACGGCACAGGTCAGGAGGTCAGAGGGGCAGAGGAAGGGGCAGGCGGCATCCAAGGCGACTATTTCACATTGGATCCACCAATTGATCATTTAAGCCTTTAGTTTGTAAGGTAAGCTACCACCCTTTCAGGTGAAGGTACACTCTACCAGGAGTGCGGGGGCATCTTGGGAAATCCGTTTTCAGGTGTCGGTGGCTCAGGTTTGCAAGGCCGCTAAATGGTCTTCTTCACGATTCACAAGGTTTTACCAGGTGGATGTAAAAAAGCCGCGGAGGATTCTGCCTTTGGCCGCAGTGTTTTATGGATGGTTGAGTAGTTCCTGAGGGGTTATTGACGGTGGGTATCATGGTGTCACCTTCCCCAAAAATTTCTTTTTTGCTTTGGAACATCCCACACAGTCATGAATATCCTGCTCTGTGTCCCATGATGTACGATAAAGAAAACTGGATTTTTTTCTACATACCCTCTTGTAAAATTCTTTTCTTGGAGTACATAAGGGGACACAGAGATCCCTCCCCTCTTTCTGGAATTTCATTGCTTGCTACAAAAACTGCAGTACTTCCTGTATAGGAGGGGTTATATAGAGGAGGACTTCCTCTCTGGTCGGCCAGTGTCCATTCACCTATAGATGGCCTATAACCCACATAGTCATGAATAGCCTGCTCTGTGTCCCGTAATGTACTCCAGGAAATGGATTTTACAGATAAGTATGTAGGAACAAATCCATTTTTTGCACTCTCCAGTTTTAGTAAATAACCTCCATAGTGTCTGCACTAATATAAGATAAATATGTTTACTGTTTTACAAGTAAATGCTTCAGTTCATTTTCTGCTCTTGTCTTGTATATATTTTGTTTATTCCTTCTGCTGCCCGACTAATTTTTTTTTTTCATCTTTCCATATGCTAAAATGTACATTTTCACACCAAAATTTTCCTATAACCACCCCAAAATAATAAATATTTTTTGACGTGCTCTACTGGTTAGTTTACTTTGCAGATTAATGCAGGTCACCGTACATTGGGGTTGATTTACTAAATGCAAATATACTGTGCACTGCAAATGCAGTTGGTCCACTTTGCAAAGGATACCCAATCATATGCAAGGAAGATTAAAATCAACAGAGCTTTCCCTCAGATCTAGAGCAACTGCACTTGCAGTGAACAAGACTATTTGTCTTTAGTAAATCAACACCATTGTGTGAATGAGCCCTGAGTGTAAACAAGCACAATATAATCTCCATTTTTCCGAGTGAGCCTGTGTGAGTAATTTAAATGCCAGTTATGCGGAGCCTCCAAGACAGCAAATACTATGATATCCAAGATTTTACCTGTGCAGTGTTGCCAAAGCCTCCCTGCACAGGCTAAATTTCAATCAATCTTCTCTAATGTTTTTTGGGTCTCACAAAGGCAGGTGATCTTTTGAGGCCACCCGACTTGCCACCCGAATTCCTCAATATCACTCCATAATAACCATCATATATGAAAAACCGAAAAGGAAAAAACTCCTCATTCACCAATGTTTATTAAAGATTAAAACAACAATGCAATGCAATATAGCATGCAGGTACCACCGCACACTGTGTTCAAACTCCCTTGTAAGGTAAATAGAAGACAGGCTTCAGCTCAGATCCCAGCCCATTGGTCACACCCCTCTGACATGTTTCATCCACATTGGACTTTAAAAAAAACCCCCAAAAAAAACAGGTTTATACTTACCCGCTCTTGAACCTCATCTTCTCAGATCTCTTGCTGGCACTCCTGATTCCTCCTCTTCTGTGAGTGCTCCCATAGAAAGCTGCTTTCTATGGGGGCACTTGTGCTGAGTCACTCCCAAACCTCACTACCTAAATCTAAAAACACAGCAGGATTCGGACCTGCCCTCCACTCTCTTGTCACTGGCTTTGATTGACAGCAGTGGAACCAATGGCTCCCCTACCTCAGCAAAGCCAGTGAGACCAGGCAGTTAAGGGAGAGAAGAGCTGCTGATAGGTTGAATGAGGGCTCAGGTAAGTAAAAGGAGGGATAAGGGGGGGGATACTGATCCATTTTTTTCCTTGAAGCAAAGAATGCATTAAAGTATAAAATGTTTAGGATTTATAACCGCTTTAATGACAGATTAGGCCCAATGTGAGTGAAACATGTCAGAGGAGTGTAAACAATCGGCTGGGATCTAAGCTGAAGGCTGTCTGTCTTTCATTTACTTTACATGAGAGTTGATTACAGTGTGTGGCAATACCTGCAATCCTTATATTTTGAAGCAAGATATGCTCTATCTGTGGCAGCTCCTGATACAGAGTGTAGACTTTGATTACCTGTCTCCTGCTGAATATTTTTCATGTTATGCACTTTAGATTTATCAATGGTATTTATTTTGTTTGGTTTACATAAGATGTGATGCACATAATAACAATATAATAAGGAAGTTGGCACTGCTTTCCTTTTTCTTTCATTTTTTACTTCAGTGTAGCGTTGGGTGCTGGGGAATTAGAGTCAGAGGACACTGTTACTTCAGATTCTTTGTCCAGCACAAAGGGTAGACATCAGGGGTCTAACCCCTGATGTCTCTTTGAAGAGTTCCTGTCACCAGGGGATTTGTCCCCTGGTGACAGTACTTAAGGCAATAAAAAAAAAAAAAAAAAATACACCCCCATCCCTTGACCACTCACAATTTTCACACTGTTCTAGTGCGTTATGGGTTTCATAATCATGGAAGAACGTATATAACTCATTAGCATCTGTGCAGTGCCTTAATGTGTGCTACACCAAGACAGCCTATTTCCTAATGAGCATAAACAAACACATGGCCTTTTTTTGCATAAACAATTTTTTTTCCAGTTTTGGATACAGTAAGTATTAAAATGTGTGGCAATTTGAGATTTAGTTTGACTGTCAGTACTGTATGAAGTACTCTAATATAGCCTCAGCTACATACAGTATACAGCACTGTGTTTTAGCAGCAGGATGAGGATTTTCCGTCCCACTCTCAGAACAAAATTCTGTTGGGCAGCCTTTCACAGGAAGCTTTGTATTTTCTGAATGAATACAAGGCTTCCTGTGATTGGCGGAGGTAGGCAGATGACATCACAATCTCCACGTTGGCCAGAAGAAGGTTTATATTCATTCAGAAAATACAAAGCTTTCTGTGAATGGCTGACCAGCACTTAGCCAAACTTGATTTTATTTTGGGAGTGGGATGGGAAATCCCAGTACCACTGTTGAACTCAGCATTGTATACTGTATGCAGCTGGGGCTATGTACAGTCCATACTGAACTGACAGCCGCTGCATGTGTTAGTGGAGGAAATTGTTTTGTACTTGCTTAGTCGAGTTGAACTACAAGTGTACCTCGGTTTACGGACGCCTTGGTTAACATAATTTTCGGTTTACGAATGAAAATAATGCCTCGGTTTACAAATTTTTTACAAATTTTTTTCGCAATATGACGTGTATGTCGGTGTCGATTTCTAAATGCAATTGCCGGCTTTTTTTTTTTTTTTTCTTCATTATCGCTCAGAGAATTAGCTGTCACTTTCCCTGGAGCTAAAGCATACTTTGTTTCTTTTAACTGGGGAAATAAACCAAAAGGAAACTTTCTTTCTTTCAGCTGGGGGGAAAGTGACAGCTGATTCTCTGAGCTATAGTGAAGAAAAAAAAAAAGCTGGTAATTACATTTAAAAACCGGCACTGACCTATAGTGACGACTTTTTTTTTTTTTTTTTTTTTCTTTCTACTTTTTCTGACCTCGGAATGGATTAATTGGTTTTCAATGCATTCCTGTGGGAAACCGAGGTACACCTGTATTTAAATAGTTAGGCTTTAAAACCTACCTGTTGTACAGGTGACAACTATACCATTTTGGTCTCTGTGACAACGGTGATCAGGACAAATTGAGGCTCAATCTACTTAAAGTGATGTTAAAGGCAAGGTTAAAAAAAAAAAAAAAAAAAAAAAGAAAAAAAAACCCAAACATACACCATATTTACCTGCTCTGTGTAACGGTTTTGCACAGAGCAGCCCCGATCCTCCTCTTCTTGGGCCCCCTGTTGGTGCTTCTGGCCCTCCCTCCAGCCAAGTGCCCCCACACTGCCTGTGAATGGCAGAGAGTCTGATGGGTCACAGGCTTCTCTTCCTTGGTTACATATACACTGTAATCAATGAAAGAACTTTTCTCAAAGGAGGAAGCTGTTAACCCCCAAAACACGAGAAGGCAGAGCCAGGAAGAGGAGCAGCATCCCTGCTGTAAAGATTTCAACAGGATCCAGCTATGCCTGCACACCATGGGACATCCTGTTTTTTACAGGTGGGAAATATGACTAAAATTGTAGGGAAAAGACTAAACTTCTGCTTTGATTTAGCTTATACAAGATTATTATTATTGGGGACATCAGGTTTTCTCGGAACACATTCAAAGGGTCTGCTGTGAAGTAGATGGCTGGTGTCCCCCTTAGTGATTTACCCTAAATGTTAGTGGTTTCAAGTCTTAGGTCTCGTTCACATCATGCGTGCAGAAAAAAAGATAGAAACTGACGCACAGATTTTACTTGCAGAGACATCAGTTTTCATGCATGCTTCAATGAGTTTTTTTTACACGTGCAAGTGATACCAGTGTTGTGGTGGGAACAGGGCACGTATAGAACAGTTGATTTTGTTGTGACCTTGCAGAACGCAAGCAGAAAGATTGACTTTTCTGCACCATAGTGTGAACAAGCCCTAAATGTAGCAGTATTAAAAGGTCAGTCTACACAACAGTTTTTCAGAGATTTTAGTCAGTTGGACCTTCCTAAGGCTTTTATAAAACTGATTTGGAACTCCATCAAGATCACTAAAAAACAAATGTCATTATCACATCTAACTGTGCATGCATTTCCTATATTGTATCCCTGTCTCTCAGAATATGCTGCCCCCGTTATGGAGAGAGGAAACAGACAGAAATTGACTGGGGTAAACGCTGTGTGGATAAGTTTGACATCATTGGTATTATTGGTGAAGGTACATATGGACAAGTTTACAAAGCCAAGGACAAGGATACAGGTATGCCTTTACTATCAGTTATTTGAGCCCTAAAACTTTTTGTGGCTGTACTTTAAGTTTTTCTTTTAATATATGTTTAAAGCTGAATTTCAGCTGTTGTGTTTTCTTTTTTTTTTTTTTTTTTTTTTTTTTTTTTATTACGTAAAGTCATATTCAAACATTATTGATCAGGGGGTCTCCAAACTACAGTCCAAGGGCTGGATGTGGCCCTCTGCTAGCCTTTATCTGGCCTTTGAGGCACTATTCCTCCCAGTGATATGAGGTACTATTCCTCCCTCCCAACAAAGGGACACTATTTCTTACACTGATACCAATGATGGGGCATTATTCCTCCCAATGATAGTACCCCATGTTTATTTTCACTGATGCTAGGCCCTGGACATTCTCTACCCCCACTGGTCACAATCCAGCCTTCCTAAAGTTTTGAAGGACAGTAAACTGGCCCTTTGTTTGAAAAGTTTGGAGACCCCTGGTATGGATTGTTATTAAATGAATTGCTGAAATTACGAAATATACCAAATTAACATATCTACCTTGCAACCATTTACTTGAAAGTCTTAAATTCTGTCGGTGCCTAATCATTCTAATACAACATACCAATTCTTAGTAAAGGTACACACATAGTTAAAGCTGAACTATACTCCCCTCTAATCCCATGATGCTTTGTCCCTGAGCTCCCTGCCTGGTCACTGACATCTTTGGGCTGCCGGCTTCTGGGTACCAAACGCCGCCGCTGTCATTGGCTGGTTGGGGATGATATCACTCCCGCGCATGTTCAGCATTGCCAAATTTGTACAGTGAGCTGCGCCTAGTAGACTTACTGTATAGGGGTGGATAGGCAGGTAGATCGTTTTAAAGTGTTACTAAAACGAGGACCTGCATTCACTATATCTGGTCTCCCACAGTACACAGAACATGAAAGTGCAATTATCTTAGTAAATATAAACTGCTAAATACCTTTTCTCATCAGCAGCTAGAGTAGTCTTGTGACTGCTATCTGTGTCCAGTTGAGCACATGTCAAAGCTTGTAGGAGGAATTTTTATTATGCTCTTGGGGGATGCAGAACCCCTTACCTCTGTCTGGACAGTGCTGATTGGTCCTGTGCTGATCACATACACTTTCCCAAGAAAAAAAAAAAACCCTCTAGCAATACACACCAAACTGATCATGTGCAGAATGTCTCCACACATATGTCTAATCAGGAGATTAGAGGGGGGACACTGGAAGAAGGGGAGGATCAGAGAAAACAGGATCGAATAGCGGTTTCACGCAGTGTAGATGATTAACCCCTTAAGTTCCACAGTCAGTAAAACAAGCATGCTTTACTGCATATACAGACTGTTTTTATTGTTTTGGGTTTTAGTAAACACTTTAATGCAGAAGATACAAAGCATGTCCCTTCTGAATTATAAAAATCCTGCCTGTTTGCCCTTTTTTGTTTATTACTTAAGAACTTCAAGTCCATAAATACAATCCCAATTCTAAAAAAGTGCTATGCTGTGTAAAATCTACATAAAAAACAGAATGTAATGATTTGTTTTATTTGTGAAAAAATAAGGTCATTTTTGAATTTGATGGCAGCAACAGATCTTAAAAGTTGGGACAGGACCATGTTTACCATGGTATTGCATCCTCTCTTCTTTAACTGCTTCCCCGCTGCCCTGTAGCAGATATACTGCTTACAGGGTGGCAGGGGATCTAACGGGCAGTGCGCAAAATCACGTGTGTGTATATATGTGTGTGTGTTTTGCATTTCCGGGTAGGGGTCGCGCGGCACACGCGCCCTACTGTGCCGCCATTTGCGGCTGTCAATCACCGGGTTCCTACCGGTGATTACCGATGACCTCCGACCGGGGAGGAGGGCTGTTTTGTTTACGAACAGTCCTTCTCCCTGTTGGCTACAGATACACTGCTCTGGATGGCCGTGCACAGCAGATCCATCCAGAGCAGTGTGCTTACATTTAAGCACCAACACACCGCCCCCCAGTAAAGCACACAGTTAACACTTTGATTGCCCCTCTGCCTCTCGTGTTAACCCCTTCCCTGACCAGTGCCATTAGTACAGTGTCAGTTGCGCTTTTTTTTTCTTTAGGTCGCTGATCGCCCACCATTACTAGTAAAAAAAATATAAAAAAAAAAAAAATTTCCAGTGTATATATAGCGCCATTTGTAAACGCTATAACTTTTGCGTAAACCAATTAATTTACACGTATTGGGATTTTTTTTTTAGCAAAGCACATGGAGCAGAATACATTTTGGCCTAAATTTTTATGACGAAATTTGATTTTTTAAAATTTTTTTACTGGACATGTTTTAACCCCACTTACCTACCGGGCACTTATATCCCTTCTTTACCAGGCCAATTTTCAGCTTTCAGCGCTGTCGCACTTTGACAATTGCCGCGGTCATTGCAAGATTGTACCATATGAAAATTTTTATCATCATTTTTTTTTCTCATAAATAGAGCTTTCTTTTGGTGGTATTTTAAACCACTTGAGCCCCAGAGGATTTACCCCCCTTAATTGACCAGGCCTTTTTTTGCTGTTTGGCGCTGATGCACTAATTCAAATGATAATTGTACTCCTGCGCGGTCCATGCAATGCTGTAACCCAAACAAAATTTACGTCCTTTTTTTCACACAAATATGAGCTTTTCTTTTGGGTGGTATTTGATCACCTGTGCGCTTTTTATTTTTTGCGCTATAAACAAAAAAACATCACGAAAATTTTGAAAAAAAAACAATTTTTTCTACTTTCTGCAGCTATAAAAAATATATCGTAAAAAACTCAAAGTTAGTCCATAAATTTAAGCCAAAATGTGTTCTGCATACATGTTTTTGGTAAAAAAAATCCCAGTAAGTGTATATTGATCTCACTGCTTTGTGTGGAAGTTATAGCGTCTACAAACTATGGTATAGATACTGTATAATTTTATGCCTTTTTTTGCTATACAGAACGGAGCCGCTGTCACTAACTCAAATGATAATTGCGCGGTCCAATGCACCCATGTCAAATGCTGCACCCCCAAACGAAATTATTACGTCCTTTTTTTTCACACAAATAGAGCTTTCTTTTGGTGGTATTTGATCACCTGTGCGCTTTTTATTTTTTGCGCTATAAACAAAAAAAAAACACACAAAAATTTTGAAAAAAAAACAATAATTTTCTACTTTCAGCTATAAAAAATATATCGTAAACTCAAATCGTTAGTCATAAATTTAAGCCAAAATGTATTCTGCTACATGTTTTTTGGTAAAAAAAATCTCCCGTGCATTAGCGGGCAAACTGGCGCTATCTAGGAGGGGCGCTCAACACTATCGGAAGTCACCAGTGACACTAATACTTGATCAGTAAAAATCTGTTCACTGTAATCAATGACACTGGTGACAGGGAAGGGGTTAAGGGCAGTGAAGGGGTTACACTGGGGGGGAGGGGGCGATCAGGGTGATCAGTTAAATGGATTTCTGGTGCACTAGCGGGCAAACGGGACTGTGCTGGCGGGCCTATCTGGGAGGGGCGCTAACACTATCGGAAGTCGCCAGCGACACTGATACAGTGATCAGTAAAAAATTGGTTCACTGATCATGACATCATTGCGTGACAGAGGCATGAAGGTGGTTAACGGAGGGGGGGGCGGCGATCTAAGGGCGTTAAACGGGATTTACTGGGTGTTAACTGGCGGGCAACTCTGGCGCTATCTGGAGGGGCGCTAACACTATCGGAAAGTCGCCAGCCGACACTGATACAGTGATCAGTTCATAAAAATTGGTTTTCACTGATCAGATTAACTGGAGACACTGGTGACAGGGCCCAGTGAGGGGCGCTAACACGAGTCGGGACACTAGATAACTGGGGGGGGCGATCAAGGGTGAAGTTAAACTGTGGGGGGGGGGGGGGGGATATAGTGAGGTTAAACGGATTAACTGAGGTGTACTGGCGGGCAAACTGGCCCTATCTGGGGAGGGGCGCTAACTCTATCGGAAGTCCCCAGCCGTACACTGATTCAGTAAAATTGGTTCACTGATCAGTGACACTGGTGACAGGGCAGTATGCAGGGTTAAAGTTTGTTGGGGGGTGGGCGATCAAGGTGTTAAACGGATTTATGTGGTTCGTAACTGCTGGCGTGTCAAACTTGGCGGCTATCCTCAGGAAGGGGCGCATATACTCTTATCGGAAGTCGGCCAGCGACACTGATTCCAGTAAAAATACTGATGGTTTAAACTGATCAGTGACACTGGTGACAGGGCAGTGGCAGGGGTTAACTGTGGGGGGGGGCCGATCATCAGGGGTTGTTTTAAACGGGATTAGTGGGTGTTACTGGCGGGCAATCCTGGCGCTATCTGTGAGGGGCCGCTCAACTCTACTTGGAAAGTCGCCCAGCGACACTGATACAAGGTGAATCAGTAAAAAAATTTCTGGCTTTCACTGTGTTATCAGTGACACTGGGTGACAGGGCAGGTGAAGGGTGTTATACTGGAGGGGGGGGCGAGATCACAAGGGGTTTCCCTCTTTTTAAAGACCAGGATTACTGGTCCTGTGACCTGGCGGGCAATCTAGGCCTCTATCTGGGTATGGTGGCACTAACTCTAATTGGAAGTAGGCGCCAGCGACACTGATACAGTGGATCAGTAAAAAATTGGTTTCACTGATCAGTGACACCTGGGTGACAGGGCAGTGAAGGGGTTAATCTGGAAGGGGGGGGGCTCAACGGGCGTTAAAACGGGATTACTGGTTGTACTTGGCGGGCAAACTGGCGCTCATCTGGGAGGTGGCGCTAACTCCTATCGGGGAAGTTCGCCAGAGACACTGATCAGTTACAAAAATCGCTTCACTGATCAGTGGACACTTGAGTGACCACGGGCATGTGAAAGGGATTAAACTGGAGGGGAAGGGAGTGATCAGGGGGTTTAAATGTGTTCCTTAGAGTGTTCTCTAACTGTTTAGTTGTGAGTGCTTGTCCGTACTCACTTTTTGGATGTCTTCTTCTCTGTCTGGAAACG